AGTGGAGGCAGTGACAGTGGCAAGCAGAAGGAGTGATGAGGGCAACTGAAGAGATCCAGGGAGTGGCTGGGCAGAAATGATGGGAGCAGAGATACCAAGGGGTAACAGAAGTAGAAATAAAGTGAGAGTGTGACCTGCTGAGGCTGATGAAAGATAGAAGGCTGTGAAGAGCTGGAGAGGAGAAACTGGGGGCCCTGGTCAATAGGAAAGTTCCAGGGAGCTGCCTAGCCTCGAGGGCCAAGGGTCTTAGGCCCTTACAAACTAGCTGCTTGAGGAGCCGAGGGTCCCAATCAATACCTGAGATGTGTTCAGGAACTGTAACACCAGTAAACACAGCTGCTGCTGGAAGGCGAGGATTATGACGGCTACCAGGTCACTCGTGGGATAAAGCCCAGAGCAAGTATCCTCCAACCTGAGTATCTAGAGCCATAAGTCTGTCTGCTAAAGCCTGGAGCAATAGGCCCCTAGCTCTTAGGGCCTGGAGTTGTGAGCCTCTGATATGCCAGTCCAGCCCCTAGGCCTTGGCACTCAAGGGTGTGGGACCGCTAGCACTGGAAGAGCCTCTCCTCACTCAGGATTTCAATCTGGGTAGAGCAGGAGGACCCTAGCTGATTGGTAACAATCATTTTCTTAAAATGCAGAGTGTGCCTTTTGTTTCTGACAGGAATTGAAGGTTTATGGCTGCACCCACTTCTTTCTCTCGAAATACAAACCATCTTTTCATTCTGATCCCATGAGGTGGCCTTTTGGTGGCACTTGGGCAGAAGTCCTTCAGGCACCTGGCTTTTGCTGTGCCAAGGGCTAAGAGCTGTCACATCAGCCAACTGGACTAGCCAGGCTGCCCCGTCAGTTAACTTCAGATCGAATTCTCTTTCCTGTGTGATGGAAGCGCACATTCCACTCTTGTGACAGTTTGTGTATGTGACTGACGTCCTCTACGAGAGCACCAGCAGTTTGAGGACAGGGATGGTGTCTCGTCATATGAGCCTCTGGTGTCCAGTAAGGAATTGATTCCTGCAGTGGATTTCAGGATTAAGATGGAAGCAAAATCAAGGCTGATTGTTCCTCACCAGGACTCCATCTTGAGCACAAGGTGCTTATTCTGTTACTCAGAACCATCAGGTGCTCTCTGATGTCCAAGCAGGATGGACTTGCGCTCAGTAAATGTGTGCACCTGTTGGACTTGCATCCTCTGGAAACAAGTCAATCCCCGGGGATGTGTGGTTTCTTTCTAGTTCTGACTCTGCCACAAACCCAAATGCCTTAAGAGCTTGTGCCTGCCCCGTGACAGATAGGATTAAAAGTCCTTCCATGAAGGGAATATGCAGCACTCACATATACTTCCTCCACGCAATCATATCCAAGTCACGGCTGTAAAGCCTTGGTGTCCCTTCTCTGCAACAGCTCATGGTGGCAACCCCCTCTGGAAGTCCACATTATCCCTTGCAGAGCCCTCAGTCGTGGGGGCCGAGGAGTTAGTGATCTGCCCACGCTCACATGTGCATTCTGTATGACTTTGAACCTTGATGAGAAGATCTTCCCAATAAATTCATGAGAATCTTGCTTTCTCAGACTGCATGTTTTAGGTTTCATATTTAAAAATGGCATCTGATTGACACGTATTTATTTCCTCTGTATATTAGGATCTTTTTTGGGGGGTGTTTACAAGGATGCCAGAAAGCTCACATATAGAATATGTTGTAAACAATTCACATACACTGAAGAGAACATCTAACAGTGCTCGTGTTAACAGTACGTAGAGTGGTGAGAGATGTGGGCTGTTGGTGAAACCCTGTGAACTTGCGGGGGCGGGGGGAAGGGGACAGAAGCTGAAGGGTGGGAGGATTTGGACAGAGGAAGGAGGGCACAGGGTTTCTGCCCCATGGCTGGTTAATGTTAGCTTTTCTCAGTGTCCTCCAGGCAGATTTTCTGGGCACTTGGCGTGTAGATAGAGTCCCTTTCACATCTGTGTCTGCTCTGAGCTCCTGCCTGCCACTTCCTTTGGGCCCCCCAGCTTGTTGGGCTGGGTGGGGTGGGGGGTCCTGCACATCTAGGCCTAGCAGGTCTGGTGGCGGGGATGAGGTAAGACATCTGCCTCTTCTCCTAGAATCTTATTCCTTGCAGAGCAGGAGGCCACAGAAAGCGCGACACCTGTGTCTCCCTCTCCTGCTCAGCCGTCCTCGCCTAGACTGGCAGAAGTAAGCTGTCTCTGGGCTTCACAGAGCAGGGAGGAAACAGCTGTTTCCTGGCCACTCTGCAGAGTCCATGCCCTTTGGCCTCACTTCCCTTTCTGCCTGTCTGAGCCTCTTTCCGGAGCTCAGGCATGGAGAGGAAGCATGGCTTTCTCAGATTGAGAGCATCACACAGCCCTTCCTCAGCTACAGGCCTGAGCAGATCCAAGAGGTACAATTTCAGGCAGGATGGATAAGTGAGAATTGATTTCTGGGCACAGGGAATGCCATAAGCTTCCTCAAAAACCAAAAGCAAAAACAAACAAACAACAAACAAAGCAAGAAAGAAAATGGAGTGGAGAAAAAGGGAGTCTCTTGTTATGGAAACCGGGATCTTTCTAGAGATCTCAAGTCTGCCCATGCGGGTTTCTTCTGCTCTGAAAGTTCATCCCAGAGGTGCCCTCCATGCCTGGCTGTCAGTGCCTCTGCCCTGCCTCTGCCCTCTCCTCTGGAGGCTGTGAGGGAGAGGGTTTACCTTGGCCATCTCTGGAAGGCCCACGGCAGGGGCCAGGGATGGGATCCTCCACTTTGATAAACACCTTTCTTGTGGCTGGTCTCGGTTTGTGGGCCAGCAGCCTGTGGTTCACAAAGCTCCCCAGAGCCCTAGCAGGAGCAGATGACCCATGAGTAACTGGACTCTGACTTGTGGCCTCAGAGCCCTACTGAGTGATTTCAGACAGGCCACACAAGCATTTGAAAAGAAACAGAATTTCTTGCAGATTATTTTCACTTAGCATTGTTCTTCTAACCTTAGGAGGTTATTTGAGTGAGTGGTACTTGGATTAAAAAAAATAAAGTCTTTTAAGCCAAAAGATGATACCAATTTCATCAGACTCTTTCTCCAGTTATTTTCATTTGATAACTAAAGACAGAATTAAGTGTTTTCTCTAACTTCATCTTGGATTCCTCGTTCTTTAGAGAATGTCTTGCCAGTTTTACAGAGGTGTGAGCATCCTTTCTCTGGGCCTTCCTTGTCCTTTCTGCTCTCCCCAGACCTAGCCTGATGCTCATGGCTAGTTGGGCTCTTCTGCTGCCTGAGCAGAGCATGTCCTCAGATGATGAAACACCGGAGGGAAAGGTGGGGTCCCCGTCTGGCTGGAGCCAGGGGGCCACCCCTGGCCTCCTGATGATTCCTTCCGCACATTTTCCTCAGACCCTCCCCACTGGTTCTGGGTTTGCATGGCCTTTTCTGCTTCCTGTCATTTATGCTGTCACCCCAGCTGATGTACTTGGAGGAAGGGGAAGGGAAAGAGCGACTTTGGAATTGGACAATCCTCAGTGTGTCCAGGTGTTCGGGGGCCTCTGAAGCTGTCTGAGCTTCAATTTGCTGTTATGGAGGAGAGTGGTACAGAGCTTCAAGGAGGTGGGGGTTAAGTGCCTCTCTCCCTCCCTCCAACCTGGCTTCTACTTCCTAGTCCTTGCTTCTTGTCCTCCCTCCACTACAAACTTCGGAATTCTGTGTACTCTGGGCAGTGTCAGCCCCTTAGGGTCTTGGCCACTGTTGTCCTTATCTGCTTAGTCAGGGAACTAAGCGGTGGGCCTCAGTGCCCATGTCCCCAGGATCATCGGTGTCTCCTCACCTGGGACGTGTGTGTGCCGTGGTTGTGTGTGCCGTGGTCGTGTGTGCCGTGGTCGTGTGTGCCGTGGTCGTGGATCCTCGGTGCTGAGGGATTGGGTGGGCCTGGCTGTTTATGTTCTGGTCATAGAGAATGCCTGGGCCTGGGTCAGAGGTCTGCCCCACTAATTGCCATGGGCCGCTGTGTAAGGACAGTGTGTCCAGTGCTGCCTGAGGGGCTTTTATGCCTCCATTGTACCCTGACTGTGACACGGCAGGACCTGGAGTGGGAGCACTTGTGGGCCTGGATACTCAGAAGACTTTGGCCTCTTGCAGGGCCTTCTCGGAAGCCACCTTCTCTGAACGTCAGCTCTCCTGACAATAATGAGAAAGGTGTAATTCTTGACCTGGAGATTCACACATTTTTGTTAGGAAACAAATGAGTGACGAAAACGCATTACGAGCAGCAGTGCAGTGTAAAAAGTGCAGCCAAGCCTTTGATCATAAGCATGCATGAGGCACTGTTCTAAGCTGTCTTTGTGCAGTAACTCATTTAGTTCAATGCTCGCAATAACCTAGGAGAAAGGTCCACACAACCAGTAGGTGGTACAGTCAGGATTTGAATGAACCAGGCAAGGTTATCATTTCTAATTCTGCAGCTGGATAGGCGGGGAACTCAGCTCCTGGTTTGGAAAACACAAGCCTCCTCTGGTTCATTGTGTGAGCTGAAGTGACGGACATGCATTGTGCCACAGCCAGCCACCCAGGGCCCCTAGTCACCGGTCAGGTGTGGGGACACCGGTAGCTTAGATTATGAAAATTTGCATGTCACTTAATGAATGGCTGTAATAAATGATTGGGATTCATTCTGAGATTTTAGATTGATGGCTTTCCCAGTCTTCTGCAAGACAGATGGGCTGATGCACCAGGGGAGATGCAGGGGCTTGGGAGCTCCTAGGCTGTGCCTCCTGTGTTCATGCTGACTTCCTTACGGTAGGGCCAGCTGCTCTGCTGTCAGAGGCCAGGACGCTGGACCTGTCCCTGCTCACTCAGGGTGAACACTTCCTGAGGCTCATCAGTGTTTCTATGCTGGATTAGCTCTGGGGCCACTAAACCACTGTCCTTGTCAGGTGTACCCAGAGATGACAGTTAAACCGGGCATGTCCTCCTTATCAGTGTCCACTGAGACGCGCTGCTTTCCTTTCTCTTCCCAGGCAGCCGGGATTGCTCACCGCCAGCAGTCTCCTTTCGGAGGCGGAGGTTGGCACGGAGGCCGGGCTACATGAGAAGCGCGGCTGGGCCAGGGATCGGGTTCCTCTCCTCAGCAGTGGGCACACCATGCCAGGCCCCAGGAAGCCTGAGCAGTGAAGAGTCCAGGGCTGGACAGTGCAGCCTTGACTTGAGCAGCTGGCAAGGCCCAGGGGTGGGGAGCCCTGTTCCCAAGGACTTACCAGCCACTACTGTGGTCCTGGTAGACCCCCTAAGCTCGGCCCAGACCTCTGTGAGAAGAACCCCAGTGGGCTTTGGGGTTCAGCTTAGACCTGGCACCGGCCTGCCTGATAGACAGACCAGGCCATGTGGCCCCGGGGATGCTGGGTGTCTGCAAAAGCTTTTATCCATGGACACTTCTGAGGCCAGAGCAATGGGCCTGTGGCCCACAGGATCTTTGGCCCCAGTGAAGGTGAGTGGCAACAGATGTAGTCTCAGGAGTGGCCCACAGGGCCCTCCAGGTCCTCCTGGCTCCCAGGACACCTTTACCTCCAGCTTTAGCTTCATTCAGCTGTCTCTTGATCCTGGCTCTGCTGGGGAACGTGGAGAAGCAGAAGGTTGCCCACCATCCAGAGAGGCTGAGTGCTCTCATCGGAGTTCCCAGGAGATGGGAGACAAAGCTGCCAGCTCAGATAGGCCCCACGGGGACCTTCAATGTCTCTCTCAGACCTTCAGTCTCACAGCTACTCAGGGCTCTGCAGACTCGGCCCAGATGGCAATGAGGAGCTCCAATCCACAGTGCGACACACTTTCTTTCCTGGATGTGGACGGCTCCTCCTCTTCCTTGGATTCCTCGTCAACTGGCTGTGGTGGTGACAAGGGCAGCAGCTCCCAGGATGCCCACGACTGGGACACCCTGCTCAGGGAATGGGAACCTGTGCTGCACACCTGTCTGCTGAGCCACCACAGGCAGCTGGAGGTTGGTATCTTCTCTTCAGTGGGATCCAGCTCCAAGCTGGGAAAAGGTGGGAGTGGGCTGGGAAGATGAGGTCTCTCTGTGATGGCTGCAGAGGTGTGGCTGCACTGCCGTGTCCTCTTAGTTGGGACACAAATGTTCTCTATCTTTTCTGTGGCTTAGCCGTTCGGATGTGTTCTCTGATGGGCCACAGACTCCTCTGCAGTCCCTGACCCTGACAAGACCTGGTTTATTCAGCACAGAGAGCGGGGGACACTGAGTAGACTGGAATTCAATTAGAAGTGGGGGCACCCTGCATTGGGGTGGCCCTGACCTTCACTTGTCTTTGCTTCTCTACCCCATGGCACCCCAGGCAGAGGGAGCTGTCCTCCACAGAGTTCTGGCCATTACACACCTCTGGGTCTTAGTTTCTCTGTTTCATAGGACTGTTCTGAGGCTCAGACAAGGATGAAGGTGCTTTGGGGTTAGGATGAGCTGAAATGTATGAGCTATAGCATCAGAGAATTCTGCCCATTACCTAAGAATGGGGTGCAGCTGAGTGGACACAGCCATTCTATCCCCAAAGTCCCGGGGAAATCCAGGTGGAGACCTCTGAGACCTATTAGGCTGCTGGCTCCTCCTTTCATTCTGGTGTGTGCATGTGAGTGTGTGCATTGTGTACCCATGTGTGTATGTGTGTGTGTATGTACCTGTGGCAGGGAGGTAGAGCACCCACTCACACAGCATTTGGTAGGAGAATCTGAGGATGTGAAGTTCATTCCCTTTAGTTGCATTGCATCTGCTTCCCATTCCTTTCCTGGAGCCTGGTGTGCCCAGCCTTGTCCCTGTTTGTCCTGTTCCAGCATCAGGGACAGTAGTCGCCTCTGATTTAGGACTCAGAGTGCCATCGGGTGGAGATGTGGCCATTATTCTGCGAGACACGTGCAGTCTGGGGTCAGACCTGTCCAAAGCTGGCGCTACTGCCTGCTCTCCACTCCTGTTCTAAGGGCCTCATGCCTGCTGATCTGAATGACCAGAGTCCACCCAGTTCCTCAGCCAGAAGCCACCACATGCCCACACCTTCTCCCTCTCTTCCACATCCTTCCTGTCTGCAAGCCCCTGGTCCTGCCACACCTTCCTCTCTCCACCCTGGCCACGGCCCTGGCTCAGGTCCTTGCTGGCTTGTACCAGGGTTTTGTAAGAGTCTCGACACAGTCATCTTCCCCAGTCCACTGCAGGGCCGGCAGGGTCAGCTTCCTGCATCACTGGCTGGTATGCTGGGCTGTGGCTTGGGGCCTTTGTTGGCTCCTTGCTGCCCTCAGGACAGCATCCAGGCTCCTTTCCTGACAATGGAGGCCTGTCCCAGCCTTCTGCTGCCCACACCTTCTTCCTGTTGGTTCAGCTGTGTGGTGTTGCAGTAGTGCTGAAGGCACCAGGGAAAACTGCCATCCCTACCCTTGCTCTTGTTTCTCTGCCTGTGGTGACTTCCTCCCTTTTCCCCTTCTTTTCTCCCATAGCCACTTCCTTGGGAGACCTTCCCTATCCAGACTAAATGAACCCCTCCTTCCTTTCCCTTCCCGCAACCACTGGACATGCCCATCACAGAGCTAACCACTGTCACTCATAGTGTGTGGTGCACATCCCCCTGCAGCCAGGAGCCCTGCAGCCAGGATCACTCCTCTCACACAGCTCTGGATTCTGATGTCCACTGGTGCATGATGAGTTTTTCAGTAAAATAATTGATCTTGTTCAGATGGACCACCGATACCTAACTGGTGAGTTTCCTGAGTTGGGTGTCCAAGAAAATGAAGGGAATCTGAGAGGCAGACACAAGCACCAGGTTGGCACCGGCCTGCCTCTCGGGCTGTATCACTGTAGATGTGGCCATGGTCCTGCACTTCCAGCCAGGATGGACATCAGGCAATCCAGGGTCTTCAGTGATGGTCTCAGAGATAAGTGGACGAGGGGCTGATACAGACGGGCGTTGGTTGTTACAGAATTTTTCTTTGTCCTTCTTTCCTGTATTTCTTCTGCTTCAGCCCTAGTGAATATTGCACAGCACCATCATTTGGGCGTGGTACAGGTAGGGCTGTAGCTCTGCATGGCAGTCAGACCACACACATAGCTTGTCTCTGTCCCTAACACATAGGACTGTTACTGGTAAAATTCTTGGTTGTAATATGGAGCAAGCCCAGAACAAAGAATTACCATGATTATTTATTCACTCTTTCCTCTACTTGGAAAGTGTTTATCAACAGCTGCTAGTACAATGCCTTAGGCTAGGCTTTTGGAGAATGTATTGGTTAGCACAGGCTGGTAACAAACAGCAACATCGTATCAGAAGCACAAGCAACAAAGTTGTATTTCAAAATTCACAGAGGTGGGAGGTGGGGAGGGTTTCTTCTGTTCCAGGGAGTCACTCAAGAGGAACTGGAACTGAGGTACAGAATCGTAAGACAAGGCAGAGACACCAGGGAGTCCTCCAAAAGCAGTCACATGCACACAGCCACCTATCACTTCCCCTGCACCCCATGTAGAACAAGGAGAGGAGACATGTGATCCCCTATGTGCCAGAGCAGTGCAGACCCAAAGCAGGGAGAGAACCAGCATTTCCTACACAGATACAAAAAAGCTTCTACCCTGCAGATGCTCAAGGTCCAATGGAAGGCAGAGACAAGACAAAAACACTCAGAAAAGCTGTACAGGGTGGGGTAAGGATTAAGACAGTTCTTGCAGGTCCTTTCTTCCACAGGTCAGAACAAAGTCCTTGCAATCATCCTGTGATTTGTTAGCAAATACTGTTGACTGCATCTTTAGCCATCTTCTGGGGATGTCCAGATATGTCCCTCTTTACCTCCTCTCTGCTGCCACTGGACCCTCTTAACGCAAGCTCCTGTCATCTCCTTCCGGGTCCTTCCCCACCTCCCACAGGACCTCCTCTCCTGCCCTTGTCCACAGTAGCAGAAGGAAACTCAAAACATAATCAGGTCAGGCTCTGCTGCTTAAGCCTCCGTGCTGCTTAAGCTCTCGTGGACTGCATGACCCTCAGAGAGTAAAGCTAGGACTTTTAAGTGGTCTCCACCTCTTTATGACTCACCCTCATCACCTGTCTGACTCATCTCTGTCCAGACCAGTGCCTGGTCCACCTTGCAAACCAGGAGCCCTGCGTCAGAGTTCCACAGTGCTGTCTCTGAGGCTGGAGTTTCCTCCATACAGGACCACTTTCATCTCTTTGCTTCAGTGTTTAGGAACGGTGCCTTTCACCCTCTACCAGTGCTTCTTACTCCCTTCGTTCAATGCTTTTTTCCCCACTGTACCCCCTCACTTTCTAAGGCACTGTAGAACTTACTTCATGTTTTTGTCCTTTGTCTAGTGTGTAAGTGGAGAGGGCTAAGCATTTTCTACTGGTGTTTCCAGCACCTGACTCCTGAAAGGCCTTTGGAGATATTTGTTGAGTGGCTCTAAAAGAAAAGCAATTCAGCGCAACAGGCCAGGTAAGAGAAAGCATAGACGGGGAGGTGACCCTGAGTGAGATGTTGATGGGAATGCAGGTGGGAACCGGGGCAGAGGATGGAGGTTGGAATTTTCCATGGAGCAAGCTGTTTAGTCCCTTCATGGATAGTTTGGCTGAGAATCCCTTTTTGGGAAATCTCTGGCCTCTCGTTGGGGAGAAAATGTTGATGAAGGAGCACATTGGGAATACTGAGACGGGTTGGAGCATGGAGTCTGTGTGGGCTGTACAGCCAGTGCCTTTTCTGTTGTAGAAATGCTGAACCTCAGGACTTCTCACAAGAACCACTTCCTGCCCATTTCCCTGCCGGGCGAGGCTCCCTGCCATCTCTTTGGCTCCTCCTCCAGTTTTGCTGTTTACCTTCATCATTTCATTCACATTTCACCATTTCAGAGCAGAGGCAATTTGGCCAGGAAATCTTATTCCTTCTTACCATGCCCCCTTATCCTTCATGCACATAAGGAACACTGAATTGTTTTTTGTTTAATACCGTTTCTCTTTGGGGAGTTTCATGCTCAGATTACACTTTTTCTTCATAGAACCTTCTTCTGTTTTTTTTGGACAAACAAATGCATCTGACATTGGAAAAATGGAAAAACATTTGTGTTTTTTTTTTTTTTTAAGAGAATGGAGAAGAGCACTTTTGAAATAGTTTCTAGACATTCTTAGCTTTTGCAAAATGAGCCTTGCTTGAATGTTTTGTTGTGACTTGGTTTTTCATTTCTTTTCCTTCAAACCAACCCAGATAACATCCTTAAGATTAAAGCTTCAAAACTTCAAGAAAAAGCCATTGAGGATGGTGATTATGGTTCAGGTGAGATTTAAGTTGTTAGTAGATTTTTCTCCCTCCCCCTTGAATCCTGTTTTCCCTTCCTCCTCCCATCTCTGCCTCCCACACCCCCGATGGGTTATGCAGTAAACCATCTCTGCTCATCTCACCCAGGCGCCCGCTGAAGTGGTTAGTGGCTGCTGGCACCGGCTGTGATGGTGAGGTTTTGAAACCAAATTTATGACCATTAATCCTTGTTGGGTCATAGATCTGACTTAATGATTTTCGAACAGGGAGAACTGCACAATAAAACTGCAAATTGCCATCTTACTTCCGATGGTTATGTGTTACCATTCATTCATTCAGCTGAAAAGTATTTGCAGGTAGAGAATGGTGGCTCATGTCTGTAATCCGTCACTTGGGAAGCGAGACAGGAGATTGCAGGTTTGAAGGCCCAGCCTGGGTAAACCAAAATTGCAAGACCGTATCTAACAAGCCTATGGCTGGGCATGGTTTATGGTGAGCAGAAATAGGAGGACGGAGGGTCCAGGCTGGCTTGGGCAAAAAGTAGGCCCGCTAATCTCCAAAAATATACCAAAACAGGCAAATCACCATTTCAGAGCAGAGGCAATTTGGCCAGGAAATCTTTCCTTCTTACCATGCCCCCCTTCTCTTCATGCACATAAAGGAACACTGAATTGTTTTTGTTTAATACCGTTCTCTTTGGGGAGTTTTCATGCTCAGATTACACTTTTCTTCATAGAACTTCTTCTGTTTTTTTTGGACAAACAAATGCATCTGACATTGGAAAAATGGAAAAACATTTGTGTTTTTTTTTTTTTTTTAAGAGAATGGAGAGAGTCACTTTTGAAATAGTTTCTAGACATTCTTAGCTTTTGCAAAATGAGCTTGCTTGAATGTTGTTGTGACTTGGTTTTCATTTCTTTTCCTTCAAACCAACACAGATAACATCCTTAAGATTAAAGCTTCAGAAACTTCAGAAAAAGCCATTGAGGATGGTGATTATGGTTCAGTGAGATTTAAGTTGTTAGTAGATTTTTTCTCCTCCCCTTGAATCCTGTTTTCCCTTCTCTCCCTCCCCATCTCTGCCTCCCACACCCCCGATGGGTTATGCAGTAAACATCTCTGCTCATCTCCACCCAGGAGCCGCTGAGCTTGGCACCGCTGTGATGGTGAGGGTTTTGAAACCATTTATGACCATTAATCTGTTGGGTCAGAGATCTGACTTAATGATTTTCCCGAACAGGGAGAGAACCTGCACAATAAAAACTGCACTTGCCATCTACTTCCGATGGTTAGTGTGTCTACAATTCATTCATTCACTGAAAGTATTTGCAGGGTAGAGTATGGTGGCTCATGTCTGTAATCCTGTCTACTTGGGAAGCTGAGATCAGGAGGATTGCAGTTTGAGGCCAGCCTGGGTAAACAAAAATTGCAAGAACCTATCACAACCTATGGCTGGGCATGGTTAGGGAAGCAGAAATAGGAGGAAGGAGTCCAGGCTGGCTTGGCATAAAGTGAGGCCCTATCTCAAAAATAACCAAAGGCAAAAGAGCTGAGGAGTGAGAGTAGAGTACCTGCCTAGCAAGTGCAAGGCCCTGAGTTCAAATCCCAGTACTGCCCCCCAAGTATTTGGTGGACACCTGTGATGTGCAGCGTTACGCAGCACAATAGGAAAGACGGGTAGACTTTGCCTCGGGGCACCAGTAATAGAAGCCCTCATGGAGCTCTGGCTTCATTCCTCAGGCCCATGGTAGAACTGGATGAGTTTGAGAGATGTCAGGCAGTGCCAAAGGGGACAAACCCTCCTCACAGTCACAGCCTAAAATACCCACAATAGAAAGGGAAAGTTGCAACATGACACCGGAAGATAGCAATGTTGTTTAGAGGCAGAAAATACAATTAAAATGAGGCACCCAAGCAGGAGTTGGGCCAGACACTGATGGGTTCCCGTCCACAGTAATGGGGATAGAGGACGCTGTCTGTGTGGTGCCTGGGAAGAATTTTGAACTCTGCAGGAGCCAACTGCATTTCTGCTGGTGTGGAGATAAAAGAGAGAGGGCAGAGAATGCCCTCATGGAGATCTGCGGGTTGGCAGAGCTCCCGGGGATGGCCAGATGTGGACACCCAGGATGGACCTGGAAATAGGATGCAGAGTCCAGGACTCGTGGCTTCCACTTTCTGAGCGTCGACGTTCTTGGCCTGCATTTTGGTATTTCCACTGGATTTGTCACGCACGGCAGGAATGGAACAAATGATTTCCCAAAGGGGGTTGATAGCTTAGTCTAAGAAATATGCAGAGCTTAAGCTGTGTCTGCAGTTGGGTTTGGAGAGTGACAGGATGTGGGGGAGGGGAGGGCCTTGGGGACAGTGGTGGGATCTTTACACTCGCCCATGGCTCTTTGTAGAGAACCTCAACTTCATATTCATGCTGGGTGAGGACAGGGTGGAGGATGAGATGCCCGAGGGTGGAGGCAAGTCTGAGGTGGGGGAAGCACCCCTCAGTGATGGCTGCTTCAGACCTAAGCACAGTTGTGGACGGAGAGCAGCTGAGCCATTCCTGGGCCAGCGCTCACTGCTGATTGTGTCTGTGAGAGACGATTAAACCTGGTTTTGCACTCTGCACTGTTGTACTTTGCTGTGACCACATCCTGGTCTCTCCATCTTTAACCACACTGTTTTCACTGTCATACATCTTTAGCCACACTTAAGGCTTACAACACCAGTGGAAAGCAGGTCCTCTTATTTGCTTTTTCTATGACCTGGTGGACTTTCTGGACTTGGTTCTCTCATAGGCTTCATTGAACGAGGACTCACTTTATTGTTTCCTTCCAGTATCTCTGCCTGCTCAGGGAAAAAGGTTACAGGAAGATGCACACAGAAAAGTGAGGCTGCGGGCATCTTTACTCAGTGCTTGGCCTGATTGGTTCTTATTTGTGTGCCCCAGGCTACCGGATCAGAGTATTTGGGGGAGCCCACTCTGTTTTCTCTGGCCTTTTAGGTAACCAAGGGGCACTGAGATTTGAGGAAACACAGGAAGGGGCTTTCTCATAAAGGGCTGGGCCTGGAGCAGCAGCTGTCTAGTCTTGAGGGCAGATCCAGACCGGGGCCATGTGTCTGCTCATCCATGGGGTGCCTGTGGAATGGACAAGTCACATGCTGCCCTCTTTCTGTTTAAATTTCCCAAACCCACAAAGCTGGCTCAGTGTGTGAAGAGATAAGTGTCCTTGTAGTATGTGCAGCTGGCCCTTTGCAGGCTCTTGGTAAGCATTGTAAGAAGGAATGAGATGAGTTGCTGTCTGCAGGCAGAGGTGGATTGGGACAGGCTGCTTCTTGCTCAGTTGCAGAACCCAGCCTGGTGAGGCGCAGGTTCTGTGCAGAATTTGGCTTATGTGGAAAGCTGAGCATTTGCATGTCTCATGGTGCTTTTCAGACGTGACTTGTGTGGCCCCCACCTCACCTGGGTGGGTGGATCCTAGCCAAGTAGGTCTGGGGCAGGTCTAGAGATGCTCCCAAGTAATACTCGGACTGCTGGCCTGCGAACCACACTTTGGGTGGAGATGAGACATGAGGAAGTAAATGTCGCCATTTAAAGACACACAGAATGTCCTCAAGTTCTCATCCCCAGGGTGGACAGTCCAGGAAGGGGATAGCACAAGACCAGCCATGATAAAACCTTCAAATAGAGACAAAGGGAGTTGAGTCCCAAGTGGGGCCTTTCTCCTGCTGGAGGCGGGGCAGGGAAGAAGCAGAGCTGCAGAGGGTGCGGTTCAGATGGGGCCATGATGGAACCTGTGCCTACATGAATGGGTGTCCTATGGAGGCAAACATGCCGGGCTTGGTTATCCTGGTTTGGGGAGTGGAAGGAGAACATGAATGGGGCAGAAGGAGTTTGGGACGTAGAGGGCTGAAGATGATTCTGAAGAAGGAGAGAGAGAAAGCCTTCTTACCATGACATCTCCCACCTCTCCGTGGGAGACAGCTCTGCTGTTTTGTGACCTTCAGCCTTGTTCACAGAGAGGGTTAAGGTTTGATTCCCAGCTAACTATTTAATCTTTCCTCTTAAAACGGTTGTTTACAAATATGGCAGCCGTTCCTCTTGCATAAGGGCAGTGATACGGTACTTTGCTCCTTGTTCTGGTCCACGCATCATTGGACAGCTAATTTGTTTTTATAAACTGTCCAGGCATTTAATTAAATCTTGCATCCTAGCTAATGCAAATTCACAGCCATTCAGTTCCAACATGCTCTGGACGGCAGGGGAAACACATGGGTCCCTCATGTTAGCCAGCTGTCCTGCTCTCTCTGCCTGGTGGCTGACCAGGCCCCAATTCCCACATCAGTGAGAACCTCACGTGTGGCGTGAGGACATGGCCATCTTTGGGAGATGAACCATGACTCATTTTACTTAGGGAGAAAGAAAACACTTCATGGTTTATAACTACTTAAGGTTCATGTGGCCGACCCCCAGCAGACCCAGGGGCATCTGTGACAGACGTGGACCATGCCATGAGGAGTCCTCTCCTCTGCTCTGACAGGTGCTGGTCTCTGGGGTCTCAGGCAGAGCATAGGATAGGATCAGGTCCTTGATTTGGGGTGAAGCAGCCTGTGGGGCCCAGCCTTCCCCCGCTCTGCCTCAGTGGCCATTACTGTGAGGTCCTGCACCAGTCGTTTCAATGTTCTTATCGAAAAGAAAGGTGGCCAACTAGGTGAAGGTGGCAGGGCATGTGCTCAGAGTCAGGACTCTGGAGATATAAATAAGAAACAGAGAAGAAGAGATCTCATGATCTTCCAGGCATGAGATACCTCCAACCCCACAATTGAAGTTCCATTTAGGTCTACTGTTCTGTGTGGACACTCGTCAGACAGTTCTGTGCCATTGGAGCCATTGCACATTGGTGTTCTGGTGCTCAGTCTCTTGGTTAATAGGAAAATGTCTTAAATGGGTGCTGACACTTTGCTTTGCAAGGCCGGGGATGGGTGGGTTTAGAATGTCCAACCAGGATCCATGGCCTGCGTTTGTC